ATCTAGTTGTATAGAAATTCAAATAAATGATCCTCTTTCGCTCAAGACTTCATAATTCCTTCTCTCCCTCTCCTTTATGATCAACTAATTTACAAATTAAGACAATAAGAAGTTGTATGAACGAAAATGGGATAATCAAGCGGATGAGTGAATGCAAAGGAGGTTTCATGTTGGATTTAAGATTGGGAACGCATCCCTGTTATCGACTGTTTCCATGGTATTTAGATGAAAATTTCTTTACCCACAGAGACGGCCTCTCGATTAGTTCATGCGCGCCACCGCTTTGAAACTCTGATCGAACAGTTCCCATAAACCTGAGCAATCTCCCCCCTATTATCTCTGGTACGACGGGTGACATTCAGGCCAATTCAGGCGTGTCTGGTAGATATCCACTATCTTCTAAAAACGCCAATTCGTGCTATTGGGGACGCTTTATAACAAGACGCCCTCTATGAATGCCTGCGTTAAGGGTGCACATCTACGAGACACAAGCAAATGGGGGCTTGGCGAGCGCGTGTGTGAATACCTCTTTGACGGCCATATTGGCAAAAAACAGCGCCCTCAACGATATTTCCTGTCCCAATTGAATCCACTTTATGAATTCATAATAGAATATTTCATTTTCTGTTTAATTCTTTATTTAGTTTCTCTTCACAATTATTAATTTTCGGTCCCTGTTTGTACGATGTTAACGTCCCGACCCAACGGAAGGAAGTTATTGTAATTTAATTAATGAATTACAAGGAAAGTTCCTAAAATTGGAATACAAGTCCAAAAATGAAGAAAACCTTAAAATTATTTGTTCAATGAATTGTAAAATGAAAAAGATCTTAAAGTTGTTAAAATCGTACACAAAAATTATAAAATCAAAATTAACAAGTTTTTATGCTTCTCCACACTCTCCACCCACTTCGACGTTTGATGAGTTACTCCAATCATCTTTAAAGAATACAAAAGCAAGAGACAGTGAGAAAATTGAATATACCCCACTCCATCAATTTAAATAATAATAATAATAATAATAATAATAATAATAATAATAATAATAATAATGACAATAATAATAATAATAGTCAGGATGATTAAAAAAATGAGCAACTTGTTTCAAAATCATTTCACACACACGACTAAACAACTATCCTCTATCTTAAAATTATTACTTTCTTATCGTTAATGGTAAATACGGAGTGATTCCCAAACCGCTGTTCTATTAACCTCAATTGTTTCTTCACTATGATGAATATAAAAAAATATAATTTCCAATGATAAAGCTGTTTATTACCTCGATAAATACTAATACCACTTACATTATCCACCAAAAAGACACTTTCCAATACTACCAATTATCAGCACTATTTTCAATCTCAATGACAATTCCAATTCTAATTCTAATTAAAATAAATGACACAGTGACAGGAATCTGTAATCAATGATCTATTCCCTTTTTCAATCGATCGAATAGAATAGATCTCGTTTTTACAGGAACATGACTCAATTAATTGAATCATCTGAAATATAAAAAAATTTTCATACAATTTTTATCAATTTGTCAAGCAATTGGACAGTGAAGTGGTGAAATTATTGAAGAAAAAATTAATTTCGTTAATTATGTGACTTTTCTACCCAAAAAATAACTGTACCGAGATGAATGAGTAATCTTACCACTTATCCACGGAATTTTCAAAACGGTGAATTTCTTTTTTACCCGATAAGGACAATAATTTAATGTTATTTCTCAGACTCATTAGGATGATCGGTTTTGATGTGATGACTAAATGTGTACTGCGTGATTCTTGGATGGGCTGATCTCAGGTGAGCCACAGCCAATTCACGAAGGACAAATGGCGATTGGCATACGCCACAACGATATCTGTGATGAGAATGCGATATTATTAATGAATGTGATGGAATTAATTGTAAATTCAGTGACAAAGGGATAAAACGGCCTGGATCTATGGATTATCTTGAAGATGAGTGGAATAGTTCCATATATTATCTCAAGTAATTTTCAATTGTATTTGTACTCCAACTTAATAATTAAATGGTATTTTCCTGTAGGAATTTTTTTTGCCAACATCAAAAAAGTCTCTTGAAATTTTATTGAGAAATCATCAACTATGAAAATAAGCTTAATCTCCAGGATTACTCTTGTTTAAAATGTCTTCGTAGCTTTCTCAACCATACCTCAGAAATTTAAAAAAAAAAATCAGACTGAGAGGACAGAAGCGATTGACATTTTCCCTAAAATATCATGATTTATACTATATGTTTAAGATAAGACGTTTTACCACTTTATCACTGAATCAAATGGTAAATATCATGTCATACCCATTCGCTGTTCTGATTAGAGTTCTTTTTACGGGGGCTGTGGGATTTTCCACCTCTTTAATCTCGACTTTGGGCTCCAGAAATGGGACGGAGGTACCTGAGGAGGTGTCTGATGGAGACTCTACGGTGGGGTCATTAGCATCATCGACAGGTTCTTTTTGCGATGATACCTGTGAAATTAAATTAATCAATTGATTGATCATATTGGTCATTAGATTATTTTCTGATCTGGATAATCGACAATCAAAACTTGACATTTGATACATTCATTGTTCGATCAATTATTTTCAATTGAAAGAAAGAAAGACGGTTCCAATTACATAGTTGCTTAGAAATTTGAAATGAATTCTGGAGGGATGTCAAAGCATTATGAATTGATGATTTGATGATTTGAATGGGCACAGAAGAATTGTGCTAGAATCTTCCATACTTTTCCAACGATTCTATAAAGAAAAAATTCATGCAGGTTGATCAATTTACCTTTGCTGAGGGTGAATGTAACCTCATATGTGAAGCTCTCGCCTGCCAGGTCCCGAAGAAAGTCAGGCACTTTGGACATTTAAATCTCTTCTGGTTCATACACTGATGAGTCACAAGTGAAAATTCTTTGAAGAATATCTTATTACATTTTTGGCAATGAAATGTTTTATCAACAATGTGCACTTTATCTTGGGGCTCCTCCTCGGGGGTTAAATTTTTCACTCGCTTATGAGAGACCTGGAAATTAAATCACAATTATTTTGATCTACAAATAAATTATGGAACGATTAAATTAATGGTCCTGTGAACATATAGAAAATTCCAATTGAGGTCTGTCATCTACAGTGTTACTTGTTAAATTATTTCGTCAGTGAGGGATCCTAGGAGGAAACTCTAACAGATCTTCGTGGTTGAATATTTTTAAGCTACCAAAAAAATCTCGCCATTTTCTCACAAAATTGTTCATCTTCTAGGTAAATACCTAATGTAATATTACACCAATTCTCAATTTTGGTTTTGATTTTTAATTGTCTGAGGCAGTGACGATGGCTTACCTCGTGTCTTTGTAGTTGCCATTTCTCCTTGAAACTTTTCCTACATACGGCACATGTGAAATTCTTAGCAGTTAAATTATCTGAGTGTGTTTGCAAATGATTGAGCATCGTTGTATGATCAGTGAACCATTGTTCACAAATTCCACATCGTGCAACATTCTTCGAAGAGTTAGTCGCTTGTCTTTTTGCAGGAGGTTGATCATCAAGTACGACCCCCTCTGGATCTAATATCTAAAAATGAATGAATCCATGAAATCAATTTTTCTTATTTCGACAAATCAAGTGCCTCGAAATGAAGAATCGATACAGATTCGTTTTACACGAAAGAAAAATTCTAAGCCATGAGTAAACACTTGTAATGATAATGAAAAAACAAATTGAATATAATCAAAGGGATTTAGTACTGAAGTGGTAAAATAGAAGCATTCGATTCCAAAAATCCATTTTTTTAATATCTCAGATAGTATAATTTATGTCAATACCTTTCTTTATAATACAAAGTGAGATTCAAAAAATTGTCCTGAAGAAAATCTGTCTGAAATTGTAGGACATTTATTAGGAGCTCTGTCTATTTTATCACTTCACTGCCGAATTATTTTTGTATCAATTACGGCAGTTGGAAACTTCTCATCAAGTCCATAATTACCTCACTATATGGTCGACTCCGTAATTTAGCTTCTCTTGCCTCCCTGGCCTCTCTTTCAGCATTCAAAGCCTCCTCTTGCTCGACACTCGTCAACGCCGGTGAAATTCTACTCTTCTGATTATGTTCACTCATTTTATGAGTCTCGAGACGTATCAGCAGTCCAAACGATCGACCACACTCCTCGCATTTGTGTTTTTTTGGTTCGTGAGTGCGCATATGGTTAGATAGAGCACTCTGTTGGGTGCAGACCTAAATCCCAAACATTATTCGCAATGGAAATCAAATGGGCTGAATTAAATTCTTATATTATGAGTATTTTCGTTAGGTTTACCTTTCCACAGGTGGGGCAGGTTAGTGATCTGATGCTCTTGATGAAATGCTCGCGTTTCACGCTCTCCAAGTCTTCCTGAGCTTTTGGCGAATTATCTATCTCTTCTGGAGGCTCTAGTATTTTTTCCAGAAAGTCCCCAGATTCGTGGAGTTGAGCGTGGCCCCGATATAGCTCGATATTTGGGAAAAATCTATGCAAAAGTGGTGAACACATCAAGGTTTATATTTTGAACAAAGTTTTACTCATGTATAGCACCTCTTCTAGATTCGTGCGAACCACACTTTTGAAAGATTTTGACATTTTCAATCATCAAATTTCTCAATTAAATTGTGTGAGAGATGTTTAAAATGTGAGGAAAACGGAAAAAGAATAACAATCATAGCATATCTTGCATAAAAGTGATATGAAATACATATTAAGTTTTTGGGACTCTAGCACATGGGAAAATTGTTTTAAAATATAGAAAAATGAAAAAATACATGATTCCGCTACTTTTTTTATCTTACGCTGACAAAACCGTTACAAACAAGATGATAATTCATAGGAATTAATTTGTCGAGCATGAAATTTCCTACAAATAAGCCAGGGGCGACGTTTTTCCAACTCCAACAATGCTTAAAAGTCCATCCTAGTTGGAAAATGCAAATAAAATAGGATCTTGACGACCTGAATTCCCCATTCATTCGATAATTTACAGGAGAAAAACCATCCTGATGATGAAATTCATTTTCTGACAATCAGGGCCCACCAGACTGTTTGAGACGTCAAAGTCCGATTTTAAAATTATAAAAGTTTTCAAATTCATTCATTAAAATATTTTTTTTACACTTTTCCTCGCTAAATATGACTTTATCTTGATAATAACTTTGTTTTGGAGAGAATATTAGGGGTCATGTTTTGTTAGAAACCTCATCGGCTGCAGAAAAGCTCTTTTGACATTTGAATTACGTGCATCTTTCTGAGTAGAATCCAGGATCACCGAAAATACCAAGTTTTATTACGTGGACAATAGTTTACCTATTACACAGCGAGCACCATGTGTCAGTTCCAAGTTCGATCGAACTAGCAAGATGATCCCGCAAACGATGATGCTTTAGCATTTCCCAACTTACAAACTCACGATCGCAACCATGACATTGTTTCACTGATTCCTCAAAGTCAAGGGTTACTTTCAAATGATCAGAGCCCTCGTGCTTTGCCAAATCTTCAACAGTTGGAAATACGAGGGAGCATTTGCCACAGGAATATTTACGAGGGCAATAAAGTGTTATGTGTTTCACTAAACTTTCTTTCGTTCTGAAAATTAGAAAAACCAGTAGGTAATTATATATTTTCGGAAATGCATGATACGTTTGCTTCTGCTAGTAAGTAATTATTACCAGAAGCAAGTGTATCATGGCTTCTGAAAAGATATAAAGATAGGATAATATTTAATAGTTTATAAAATTATAAGAGCAATTATTCAAGCATTAAAACATGAAAAAATGTCGTAGAACGATTTTGAGTTCTACTAAAAAAATTGGGTGGTGCCAGATGGTATGACCGTTGTTGGTTTTTTACCTACCCGTCCCAGTACCTACGCGGTACCCCAGCCTAATTCTCTACCCGCACTTCCCTCTAAGGTAACTTATATCTAACTCCACATAACTAACTCCACATGCACTGGGTTCGTTTTCCGGCGATGAAAAAATCTTTCATCACCGGGACTCAAACCCGCGCTGCTGGGACGCTTTGGTTTATAGGGCCAGTACGCTGACAACGAGCCCAAAGACGTCCTCATTTTGAGTTCTACTAATTTGTTCCTACCCATTTTTTCATTGACTATTTAATCACATTTGAAGATTGCATTTAGTTAGCATTATATGAAATTATATAGAAGAGAGTTGGGCAAAATGGAACAGTCAAAAAAACGACTGTTTGACGCAATTCCAGCAAAAAAAACTTTAGTAAATATTTTTTTATCCACTTTTTTTTTATTCTTGGGAGTACTGATGAGAAGAATAGTTTTCCATTCAGTAGAATGGAAAGTTATTGAGAAGTTTTGACAGGCAAAGATTTTGTCAATGGACTAATTGAAAAGAAAATGAAACAGCAAAATCCAAAGTCCAGACATATGATACTGAATTTCAATCGAATAATCCATTGATAAAATCTTCGCCCATCAAAACTTCTCAATAATTTTCCATTTTACTAAATGGAAAATTATTATTCTCAGCAGTACTGCCAAGAATAAAAAAAAGTTGACAAAAAAATAATATAAAAAAAATTTTTTTGCTTGAATTGCGTCAAACAGTCGTTTTTTATTGACTATTTCATTTTGCCCTACTCTCCCCTATGTCCATCACATTTGGAAAAGGGCAAAGAAAAAAAGGGATGAAAATATCCCGGGAAAAGTACACTTAATTGCGCTTGTATAATATAAATGTAAGATACCTGTAATAACTATTGCATGGTGAACACCACCATTTGGAGCTCAATTTGCTCGTTGGGGACAGTTCTTTACAATCGTTGATAGTTAGATTCCCAGTGAGCACTTGTTCCAAAATGCTTGTCTTCTTTTCCCCTTTCAGATCAGACTCCGTTCCATTTGTCTCGACTCCATCACTATCGGTGTTGTCATTTCCTTGATAATTCACCTCAATATTTTCATCTAAACATTCATCATTGACATCGACGGGGACAACCTCAGCTTTGGTGGCCGGAGACAGTTCTTCTTTAATCTGAACTTCACAGGGAAGGTCTGGTAATGGTTCGAGAGTTGCAGTAGTCTCTCTGATGTTTTGCTGATCAACTGGAGTAACGGGACTAGGTAATGGCAGTGATGCTGGCAAGGGTACCAGCGGCGGTGGTGCTCGAGGCTTTAGCATACACAATTGTGCCTGTAGATAATGAAAACATAAGTATAAAGAGTTGCGAGAAAAAAATACGTTATTCGTCGGGTTAAGGCCCGGGTGGATTGGTTGTTTTTATTATCTTGATAATCTGAAATGATCTCCAATTGCTATTCAGTTTTACGTAGCCGTGAAGTTTCTAAAAATTATGATTGCACAATGTACAATCAAAAAAAAAGCTGAACACTTTCAAAAAGCGTTTTTGAACAATATTGGAAAATCAACCCAATAGGGAGGAAAGTGGAAAATTAATAATTTGATGTATCTAATGGCTGTTATGTCGTCATTTATCACAGCAGTCAATCACTGTCAGATCGTTAGTTACCATGATAAATTATCCATCCACTATTTCCTCTCTATCGGACTTATTTCTTAATCTTTATTAAAAATGCTCTTCGAACATTTTCAGTTTTTTTCGACTTTTTTTGATTGTACAATCATAATTTCTAGACTCCTGCGTGATGTAAAATCCAATGGAAATTGTGATATATTTTGCATTATGAAGATGGAAAAATAATCGAAATAACGTTCGAAAGATAATCCACCAGGGCCTTAGATATACCAAAATTTTGACCCCTTGATGTAAAATCCAATGGCAATTGTGATATATTTTGCATCATGAAGATGGAAAAACAATCGAAATAACGTTCGAAAGATAATCCACCCGGGCCTTAGATATACAAAAATTTTGACCCCTTGGATATAATCCAACCTCTCTTAACAGGGCCTGTTAAATTTACTGGAAAATATCACAAACTTTCACTGTAGGAATTCTTTAGAAATCACTCATTATCAAAATTTTAACGGGGAAATCTACCTGACAAGGATCTGGTGAGTTTGCCATAGCATCCAGAAATATTTTCACAGAGTTCATATGCTTCCTCGCCAACAACTTCACATGCATTCTCCGGTACACATTTAGACAGTATTCCCTGAACTCAAAAACATCGTCCAACCTTGCAGCACAGAATTGACATATCTTTTTGGGCAGGGGATCAGTCTTGTACACCATAACAGGTAAACAAACCCTCAGTTTTTGGGCTACTCTTCTCTGTTTCCCCTCATCACCAAATATCTGAAACATCTCCATCTTCTCTTCGGCACACAGCCTGCAACTATTATCCGATAAACTCTCCAAAGACATCTTTTCCCAATGATTCACACTCTTGACTTGAAATCAATTATTACAATGGCCCTAACCAACAGCAATGGTATCAGTGGCATCAGACCGAAAAAGGCGAGATTTACTAGGTTATCTGAGAAGTGTTAATGCAATTGCTGATTGTCTGAGGTAGGTTATTGGGGTCTCCTAACCTCCTAGTAATTCATTCTATGAAATTCCGGTCATGTGATTTGTTCTAGTTGACTTTTACAATTTTTCAATCGTTGCTAGACGAAGGATTCACTTTCACTTGGGAATATCACAATGTCCAATACCACCTCAACACCACCCAACACCTTGGAAATAGTTGTTGAGAATTGAGCGCCCCTCCTGGCCCTTTCTCGACAGACACCTACACCAATGCACGAATGAGTGTAGTGGTGGACAACATGTCCACCACTACACTCATTCTTTGAGATGAGCAATTGGTTGCTCTCAAGTTCTTTCTGAATCATTGTGTGATTAACTCGGTTTTGAGTGAATTAGGTAAAGACTCAACTATAAGCCACAAAAAAGGTTTTCTGTCATTTTTTGCTTCCGAATGGAAGCATTGTAATCGTGCTATTTTCATATTCTGTAATTTTGATTGGAAATTATGTAGAATGGTCTGAAACGTAAAAATACGAAGTTTGGCGACCATGTCTGTCGGTGTCAACGTCCATCGCCACCTTTCCGGTGGCCAATTTTTGGAAAATTGAGTAATTAATTGGCTAAACTTATTCCAAAAAATCTGAAATTTTGTCAGATTATAGACCTTAACAAGGACTAACTCTGTGCAAAAGCTATATTCGTTTTTAAATCGTTTTTCGCTAATATCTTCGAAGCTAGTCAACCGATTTCAATTTTTTTTTCAAAATATTCGTTTCGATGCTTTCTATCCGAATCAATCAAAACATATATACCCGTTCATACAAAGTTTTCGGGATATTTCCGTTTTTCTGTTTTTTCATAAAAATCCTTGTAATCACTCTAGCTTGTGCAAAAATTGAGATATCAACTTGAAATTTGTACAGAATCTTCTTCTCATGATCATAACAATACTTCCTATTGAAAATGAGCTCAATCGCGTAGGTAGTTTCCGAGATATTCGACTTTCTCTGAAAACCTTTCATGTGCAATATCTTAAAAACTACGCAACCGATTTCAATTTTTTTTTCAAAATATTTGTTTCGATGCCTTCTATCCCATTCGGAAGCTTACTACCAATGGAATTGGTAGAAATGAAAGAAAGAAAAGGTGTTATAAAGTAACGGTCAGATGGGTTCGGCCAAAAAGGCTCGAACTCCTGCTTGTTTTCAGAGGCAATAATTTTTGAGATAATTGCACAGACGAAAAAAATTCATAGAAAAATCTAGCGCATTCGCTAGACCATTCCGTAGAAATTTCAGTGCACATCTGTTAGTTTTTCACTGATTCTTGAAAAACTTCGCAGCTTTTCTGCGCGTTTTGTTCAATAGAATTCGATTTTTCGATACAACTCATTCTATTGAGATATTTTTTATAGAAAATTCCTGCAAACACCTAAATGTTGCAATGTTTTTCCTTTCATTTTTTCTGTAATGAAGCAGAAGAGAAAAATTGGAGTGAAAAAAATTGGGAAAATTCATATCGAGAATTTCTACAGAAAATATCTCTGCATAATACGTTCTAGGGAAAGATCGAATCCTGTTGATTTTTTATACATAAAATAATTTCTATTGTATTGAACATTTCCTTTTAAAGAAACGCTGAGAAAAGTTACAGATTTTTTAATAGAATTTTATAAAAATCCAAATATAAGTTTTTAACGAATGCGCGAGCTTCTTTCTGGATTTACTTTTCATGCGGACATTAGAATATGAAACTGATTTTCAGTTCATCATATCATCTCGGACAATCTCGGATAATCGGACACTCTTATCCAGAATTAGAGATGCAAATGCGTCACATGACCCGTCATATGACGGTCACATGACGAGGCGTTCATGACGGCTGTCACATTCCCCCACCTCCTTCTGTGACCGTCACAACTTGTCAAGAAAAAATGACAGTCATTTTTCATCTATATAGATAAAACTTTATTTTTTTCTATGTCAATTTTCAGTTGAATTCCTTTTGTTATTGGCCTAATCCGCATTTTGAAATGCATGGAAATCACGTTTTTTTTCCATCCATATAAATGAAACTATTTTGTTTTATTCATGACCGTCACAAATTGGAAATTAGTTATGACCGTCATTATGCAACTGTATAGATGGTTTGACAACAATTTGATCACAAATGATTTGTGACAATCATTTGTAGTTGGAAAATTTATGTGTCACATGACCGTCACAAGACCGTCATTTTTTGATCATATGACGCGATCTAAAAAATGACGGTCATTTTGCATCTCTATCCAGAATGAATTATCAAGTGAAAATTTTTGTGGCAAAGTTCATGATTTAAGAAAATAGTACATTAGAGTACAAGGGCACAAATTTCGTTTTCAACGTATGTGTAGTTTATAGGCCGAGCCGAAGGCGAGATCTGTACAGTCGTCAAATTAAGTTCTGGGAGTAACTAGACGTTTTCTGGTAAAGTTGGGTTGCATGGGAGCAGGGTTGGGCAAGTAAATTACCTTAGGTAAATTACATGGTTTTTGACCGGTCATAAAGTAGGTAAATTACCCGGGCGAGTTGTCGGTTTTTTGACCTGTCAAAAACCTATGTGGCGCAATCTATTAGCACCTTGGGGAACCGGGAGATTGTTACCGAGAATACCGCCTGTCAGAGTTACAAGGGTCAAAATTCGAAAAAATCATACCCACTGAGGTTATGCCTCGCGAGGATCAATCGTCGCAAGGTCATAACTCGCAAGGGTCAAACGTGACAATCATAACTTGCGAGGGTCAAACGTCACAATCATAACTTGCGAGCGTTAAATGATCATAAGCTGTTGCAACAAAGACCAAACGGAATAGTTTCAGATTATTTTTTCTTAATTCATGATCATTCCACCCTTGTCATTGTTCTGCCTACAGGAGAGATAAGTTGAAAAATCACAAGAGTTAAAATTAAGACGCAGGCAAGCAGGAAAATCACAAACGATCAAGAAACAATCACAAAGTAGGTAAATCATAATGGTCAGTCAGGATAACTAGGCCGTGACCTGGTGACCTGTTTGACCCTTGTGAACCTACTTGCTTTTTTGTTTAAATTTTATGACCGTTGGAACCTTGTAATTGTACCGCCTGGCGTCCCCCGTTGACCCTCTTATTAGTTTCACCCTCCAGATTAAAGGATTGCTTCCGTTGTTTGACCCTTGCGACGTTTGACCCTAAGAANGCAACCCCGCGATCTGAGCCTCTACTTTAGTCAATCCTCTTTGGTACACACATTCGTTGAAAACGAAATTTATTACCGAGTGCTCTATAATATTTTATGTCAAGTCGTGCAGAAGTCGAGTTTCAAGCAGGCTGCGCGAAGCGCAGCGTGCGATAAACTCCACTTATTGCCCGGCGCGACATAATAGTATATTTCGTCACTAGGCCGAAAAAAACTTTTCTGGCGAANTAGGAGAATGGGATCGAAATGAACGACCCAACCCAACCTCTAGCAAGAAACGTCTAGTTACTCCCAGAACTTATTTTGACGAGTGTACACAAAGAGGATTGACTAAAGTAGAGGCTCAGATCTCGGGGTTAGACTGACCCCAAGCCAAAAGTAGTTCGACCCCAACGGAGGGATGCCGCCACGGTNAAGCAGGCTGCGCGAAGCGCAGCGTGCGATAAACTCCACTTATTGCCCGGCGCGACATAATAGTATATTTCGTCACTAGGCCGAAAAAAACTTTTCTGGCGAATATGAGTTTGCAGCCCGAGCCGAAGGCGAGAGCTGCAATCATATGAGCTAGAAAAGTTTTTTTTGGCCGTATGACGAACAGTATTTTTTGTTATGACGGNCGGGTAACTCGGCAGTAGCAGTCTCGCTGTTACAGGGATACTTTCGGAGTGGAATTTGTGTCCTCCTCGTCCTCAGCATGTTCTTAATGTTTTTCAGGTGATTCATTTGCTGGCTAATTAATATTAAGGAATGAAACACAGAGGGTGTGATGGAGAATTAAATTCCCCATCAATCGATCCCCGTTGCATCCCTTAATCTCTGTAACAAACAAATCCAAACTACGACAAAGTCATGGGCCAGTGAGAAAAATAATTTTGTTCTCGGCGCACAGTGACTTTTCACCATTCGCTCGCGAATTAAAAATTCACTTCTCCCCTCCTAATTGAGATTAAGGGATGAAAAAA